AAAGCTTAGTCTAGGCTTTCTTAAAGGCTTACTTAGTCTTAGTAAAAATAATAAGCTTCTATATTATAAGGACCTTATAATATATATAAAAGGGAGCCTTATTTACTAGCGTATTAATATAAGCTTAGTCCTTATTACTAAGCTAGGCTATTACTTATATTAATAGCTAATAGGCCTTATTATTAGACCTACTACTATTACTACTATAGGTATAGTCCTTAAGCTACTTCTACTTAGCCTTAAGTATAATATTAGAGTTAATATAGTAGATATAAAGTTATTACTAGACGTCTAAGAACTACTTATTTAGTATAGTCTTTATCTATTTATTATAGTCTATAATAATAATAGTAAGGTAATAGACTAAGTGTTAGTCTATAAGCTAGTAGATACTTACTAAGAGAAACTAGAAACCCTTTAGTCTCTTGTTATTAATAAGGCTAAATATAGCGTTATAAATAGATCTAAGGTAGGTCTATCTAGTGGCCTAGAAGAGTAGAAGTTTAAAGTAATTAGTGTTATAGGTGTTATTAAAACTAATTACCTTAAGGAATTACTTCTATATTTAGAGACAGTAGGGAAAGGTCTAGATAAGGCTAATAAGGTAGTCTAGCTTATTATCTGCTTATTTAACTATATATAGGATATCTTACTTATTAAATAACTTAATTAAAGCTATAGTTAGTAAATACCTAGCTAGTTTTTTTTAGTTTATATAAGCTTTAGTATTATAAATATCTTACTAAGTAAATAAGAAATCTAGGAACTACTCTTAAATAATAGTATATACGTTATATACCTAGATACTAACTTATTAGCTTATTATATTAATTATATTTATTATAAACTAAGTAAGCCTTTAATAATAAGGATATATTAAGGCTTTAAGGCTAAGGCTATAGTTATACTAACTATACTAGGCTACTAAATAATAATATAATAGCTACTTACCTTCCTCTTAGGCCTCTATAATAACCTACTACTAATAGCTATATTTCTAAGACCTACACTATTAAATACTATTACCCCTTAGTAGTCTTAGGTTACTAAACTAATTATATTAGAGGTAGTATTATTTAAGACAGCCTTAGACTTTTTTCCTATTACATTTTATAATACTAAATCCCTAAGCTTTTATAAAAGTATTAACTTAATTAAATATAGCGTTAAAGGTTTATTCTAGATTGCTAGGTATTAGTAGGTTTAGGATATTAGTTATAAAAGGAGAGGATAATTAGTTACTTAGGGTATAGTAAGAGGCTGTAGTTTAGAAAGACGTTTTACTTTAAGGGGAGGATTATTATTAAGGTAAATAAGGTAGTAGGTTAGCTTAAGGACCTAATTTTTCTTACTATTAATAGATATAGTCTTATTTTTAGAGAAGTGCTGTTATTAGCTGTTAATTAGTCCTAGTAACCTATTAAATAAGGTTAAGAGCACTATTAAACTACTAAATAGTAAGAAAAAGAGGTTACTAGAATTATTTATTAGAGGGAGAGGGGCTATATTCTAAAAAAAGTTATAGTAAAGTAGTCTGTTAAGTTATTATTATTCCCTTAGGGAAATAGTAAGTAAGATAAAGTGTTAGCTTTATACTAGGGTAATATAGTTTATAGTATAAAAGAGGTTATATATCTTATAGTAACCCTAATAAGAGCTTAGTAATAAGGTTACGCTGCCCTTAAGGATCACTAACTCTATAGAATTTACTAACACTAGGACAGCTGCTTTCTAAGAAGGGAGATAATAAGGGTAGGCTAGATAATAGTTATAGGTTATAATTAATTAATAATTACTCTCTAAAAGTACGACCTGTATTAGTAAGGTAAATAGGTTTAGTTAGGCGCTATAGAACACTTTATAAAGCTATAGTAAGTAAATAGTATAGATAAAACTAAGGTTAAATTAATCCTATAGTAAGAAAGGTAAAAGGGGTAAGGTACCTTTAGTAGGCCTAGTAGAATTTAGTTACACTAATAATTCTTTTTTAGGCTAATTAGAAAGGCAGATAGTAGTGCCCCTATAAGACTAGTGCCCCTATATTAATTCGTAGTGCCCCCCTATTAATTCCTATTATAATTAGGTAACACACTAGAATATCTATATAAGTAGGTAAAATTTATACTTCTTCTTATTTTACTACTATTACTACTAAGCGCCTTTTTTATAGCCTTTATAAATATTAATATAGGGTATAAGGAAATTAAGGCTAATAATAGCTTAAATTTATTAATAGCCTTTAGCTCCCTATAAGCTAGTAACTTACTTAATTTACTAATAGCCTATAGCCTATAAGCTAGTAACTTATAAGGAGTTAATTTATATATAATAGTTATATAAGACGTTACTAAGTATAAAATAATATATCCCTAAGTAATAGCAGCTAGTCCTTTAGACAGACTCTAGCTAGTAGCTACCTTATTTAATAACCTTATAAAAGGCTATTATTTTACTATATATATAAGTAGTTATATTACGCTAAGAACTTTATTTAAGGTAGCTTTTCTTATAAGGCTTACTTTATAGTAAAAGTTTATAGACTATATATAAGGTAACTTATAAGTAAATTTATAGTCTAGTATATTATAAAGTTAACTAATAAGTAAGGATTACTACTTTTAGTTAATATATACCTCTAACTAGAAAATAATATATATATTATATATTAAAAAAAATAGTATACTAGTATATATAGTTTATACTTATAGCTAATAATTAAATAACTCTAAAATATCTAATAGGTATAATAATTATAAAGATATTACTAGTAAACTACTAATATATAACAAAGGCGTTACTAGACTTTATAAGCTTATAAGTATATATTATAAGTTACTACACTATTTACTAATCTATAGATAGCCAAAAAGCTACCTATATAAAAAGTAATTTAAAAACGCTAAAAAAGCGTATCTATATAGATATAAAATATTAAAATCTTAGGTAATAGTCCTATAAGTAGTAGCTAATAGGTATTAAATTCTTAGCTACTACTAGGTATATACCTATAAGCTTAATAAATATAGTTAATTAACTAAATTTAAAGTAAGACTTATTTTCTATAGTAACTAATAAGTAAAGGATCTATAAGATACCTATATAGATATATTAGTAGGTATATTATTTAAAATACTTATAGTAATAGCTACTTACTTTAATTTAGAATTACTTTAATATAATATAGTAAATATATTTATATATACTACTATTAATAAAGTAGTGTTTATAAAGATACCTCTAGGCTCCTAAATTCCTAGCTAAACTTTTTAGTTATTAAAAGCGCTTTATAGGCTCTTATAGTTACCTTTACTATAGTAAAAGCACCTTAAAGAAAGGCTTACTATATAAGGCTTTTACTAAATACCTAGTAAGAATTACTACTAAAAAAAGACTATATTATATGCTTTTTTTATATTAATAATTATATATTAGTATATTACTATATAAATAAAGTATAAGTAAGTAATAAAATAGTAGCCTTTTAGTAATAATACTACCTTAAAGGTAGATGCCTCTTATAATAGTTCTTTAGCCTTAAGATAATTTATAACTAAAGTAACTACTATCTCTAGCTCTTATAAGCTATATACTATAATAGAATAACTAGTTTACTACTACTAAATAAATATTATAATAAATTATTACTAATAGTAAAAGCTAAGCTATTACTTAGTAAATATATAGCCTTATTATAAGAGGTTAATAAATACTAGCAAAAGGTAAAAATAATCCTATATATAGTAGTAATAACTTAGCTAGATATTACCTTTATAGCTAGCTAGCTTACTTACTTAAACTATAATCTAAATATAGATTACTAAAAGGCTATAAATTATATACTTAGGTATCTTTATAAAACGTAATATCTTTACTTTAAATATAAAGTAACGCTAGGTAGTAAAAATAATATATTAAAGGTTACTTTAGACACCTTATTTACTAATAACTTACTAGATTATTATAGCTTATAGGCGTACACACTAAAGCTATTTAGAGGGCTTATCTCTTAGTAAGTAAATAAATAAGATATAGTAATAACGTTAACTACTAAGGCTAAATTACTAGCGCTATTATTTACTATAAAAGAGGTGCTTTTTACTAGTAAATTAATTACTACACTAGGTATTTAACTATTAACTAAAATAAAAACTAAATTGTTACTTAATAAGTAGGTAGCTACTAAATAGCTACTAACTATTTATATTAGCTATAATAATACCTAGACTATTAGGCTTATTACTTAAAAGCTTATTTAATTATAAATAAGGCTATAGTATATAAATACTTATAACTACTAGTTACACTAAAAAGTAGCTATAAATTAGATTACTATTAAATATAAGAAGTCTACTAAATTAATAGCTAATAGATTAATAAAGGCGCTTAGTATACTATAATTTACTACCTTTTTAGCCTAATTAAATATAAGTAACTAATATATACGCCTTAAGGTAAATTAATAGTAAGAGTTAGCTAATAATAAAGTAAAGCTTTACTACTTAATAAAAAAAGAAAATATATAAGATATTAATAGGTAATTAATAAGTAAATAGGCAATAACTAGAGGATATTTAGTATAAGCCCTATAGGAATTAACTATATTACTAGCGCTAAGTAAGTATATTAAATATAGTATAATTATATATAAATTAGCTAGTAAATATAGGGTTACCTTATAGCAAATTGTTAGGTAATAGGTAGTAAATTAGCCCCACTTTAAGGGTTTAATTCACTAATTAAATAACTAGGATTAGCCTAGGATTTCCTAACTAAGATATAGGGGAATTTCCTTACTTCTATAGGGTTTTTCCCTAGTTACACATAACACATAACAGAATTAATCAATTAACTATTACAATCCCTACTATTTAATATAAGGCCCTTAGCTAATCCTCTTACACTAATAGGGCAACATTAACTATAACTTAGAAGGTCGTAGTAATAGGCTAGCTACTTTTACACACTAATTTATAGATAATGTGATTTATAATAATATATCATTAAGAATGTATTACCTTCTTATCTGTTGACCTATGTTGCTCGGCAAAAATAAAAAGGGATGTGTAATCTTTACAAATGTGCTGATAGCCCCATCCTGTGCTTCCAATGTCATTTGCCGGCTTCCACTCCAGAGTTGTATCGCCAGAGCACATGATGCTCTGCCGCAAGTAATCCCAGCAGTGGGAAAGGTGAGTTGTGTTCACCGTGTCAAGGTGGCCATCCCGAGCGGCAAAGAACCCAGACCGGGTCATGTACTAGGACGCCCTAATCAGTGGTCATCTTGGCTACGTCAATACAGTCTCTCCTGACACTTACTAAGCAATGGATTTGGTGAAAAACGGACAGCAGTGCCTTCTTTTCGGGCACATTTCTGTCTAGTCCAGGCATGGATGGAAGCTCGCTTTCTGTTGTAATATTAATCCAGCCTTTGCCCACTAAGACCAGCAAACAAGTCGTTAGCTAATATCACGCTTCAGCGGTCCAATGCTACGACAGCAATCATTGGTGCCGCAAAACTAGCGATGAGATGGAAAATGCACTTACTTGGGACGAGTCTAGTCCAGGCTGCTTCCGACTGTTCGGTGGGCTCCTCCCCAAAAATTTGTTGGAACTGGAATATCTGCTTATTGTATCTTTCGGGCGGCATCCACGACGGCGGACTAGGAGCCCAGTGGGCTCGTGTGACGAAGATCAACGTGACACATAAACAGAGATTAAACAATACGAGAACGCCAACCACAATGCGCATGGGAGTGGCCAGTTTTCGCTTGCGCTCATATGGGGGCTCGGGAGAAGCTACCGCCGAATCAAGAAGGCGTTCCTTCTCTTCCTTCCGTGTGGTCAGAAACGGAATTGCTAATTCCTCTCTCGCGGTGTCCGCCATTGTGTCTGGCTTCGTTCCTAGAAGTCAACCCGTACAGCAGGCTCATACGGATTCAGGCGGTACGGCAGTCGTGATTCTTCATGAGTTGTTATCAGGACGAGATTTGACGCTGACGCCGGCGTTCCGGCTTGAGAAGGCGTCTTAAAGGTTGTCTCGCGCAAAAACATAGTTTTGCGTAACGACAAAAGTTTGTCTCCATATCAGGGACTCCTCATAGAATCCATGCGTTGGCGCGCTTCGTAGAACTTTGCATGACTCGTCTCACACACGAGACTTGCGCGCCTCGCACAATTTGGCGCCGCATGGTACTTTCATCACGATCATGCGCCAAAAGCTGACCGCTCAAGCTCTAATCCGTCTTGGCCACGGCAAGTACCGGATTGCGAGATTACTCTTTTTATCTTTAGGTGATTGCCTGAAAAGCCGGCGATACCTCTCTGTCGTCAGCGAAACCCCGTTCATTCATACGTTCGCCGCTCTGTCAATGACCACTCCATTTCATCTCCGACTTGATTACACATTCGCCAACCGGATTCAATGCCTCGACCAAAAGTGTTGCAGTGGCTTTCGGGCTCTGCGTACGTCCCATTGTCAAACCACGAACGCGATGAACGAGATGCTGGTATAGCCTACAAAGATGAAGATGCGGCGGCTACGGAACGAGCTCATCCCGGGTTGTCGCCAAGACTAGCTACGGGCGAAGTCACCGCCCCACCAGGATTTCTCGCCTCGGTAAAGAATTTTGCGTGTTCCAGAAAAATCAACTGCCTGCACCTATTGAGCATCCTCTGCATATTGGGATTTTTCGTCGCCCTTACAGTGCCCTCGGCGCGCCATTGCCACGGATTGCCCCCAAGCCCCCCAAAGCACCATCCGCATGGGACGCATCACTCTGAAATGGTAGACAGGCCCAAGCAGAAACCTCATGAACCCCAGTGTGGCTCAACACCTACAGAGGCGAAAGCCCGTAACTGCATCTTCGAACAGCAACTTGGGGCCTGGGTACATCCAACCTGCGCTTGGCAGGAGATTGTCCACGAGTTTCGTGAGGTGGTCGGGGACATATATGTCGGCTGGTCTTGGTACTGGGATACCGATCTGAAGCGTGAGGTGGCTGCAGCCGACGTCCCGAAACTCCAGAACGGCAACTTCTCCGTCACATACACCACTTTTCCCCGAGCGCACGACCTGCATTGCTTGTATTGCTGGCGAAAAGTAGAATACGCAATCGAGCACGGTGTTAAGTGGATAGACGCCCGGTGTCATCAGTTCTGGCACACGAAGCACTGCGTTACTCTCATCGCAGAGACGTTGACAGGCCAGGGCGAGCAGCATCGGGCATTAACATATCCTTTGTTGTTTCACGACTGTGTTCCACTCACTTCGACGATAGAGTCATGACTGAAGTATCAAGCCCACAGAAAGCCTCCTTCTGGTTGGATTTCTAGGGCTATAGTTGAAACCAACTGAGATTTAGGCTGCGTGACCAGGGTATCAACGTGAGTTGGTAAACGTAATAGCAAATAGAAGACTTCAATCTAACTCGAAGTCATGTTCACTTGCGCATTGCTATTTTAATATGCGGATACCTAAACACAAATGCTAATTTACTCTGTCACGTGCTGTCAGCGGCTGCCACTGGATTCATGAACAGTCTGCATAAACGTGCTGAAGTCGATCAGCATCTCGGATAAAAAAAAAGGAAGGCAGAGAAAACTACGCAGATAAAGGAACGATCTATTTTTAGATCCAAAACCCCACAGTTGACGGGCTACCTGGACTCTTGCATAGGTAATGATTGGCTGCCCGCCTATGCTAATTGATTTTAGAGCCAACCGCATTTTCTCATGGCGCCTAAATTTGGCGCCGGTAGTCTAAACATTTGTGTGAGTGTGCTTACGTTGCTACCGAGTCACAATCAAAACTAGTCAACTGTACACTACCTTTGCCCAAACAGCTTTCACGCATACTTGCCTACAGAGTCGTGAACAGTCAATCCACTCCAATGATGATGTGGTTCAAAGATAGAGGCAAAAGTCTTATCGCTTATACTCGGGTTGAAAACAATACAGCCACGAAAGCTCGGGAGAAAAAAAATTTCGTCTTTTCTCAACCAAGCGAGCTTTCATGGCGGCTGTCTTCCAAGTTATCTGCAAACACTTGTTATCTACTGGTCCTGCAAACCTTTGTCATCGCTGCTCTTTTCATATACATTATCATTGGAAAGCCTAGTGATGTGGTCTGTGCAGCACAGCTCTCTCCATACTGTAAGTGGTGTGACCCACGATACGCTTAGGCGAAATATTCTCTATACTTGAGAAATAGAATGACATCTAACACTTTCACCTTTCCTCAGCACCCTATCTAGAATCTGGCGACTTGGAATTTCAAGAGTTTACTGAACAAAACCACCTCATGCAACCATCGCCATATCGAGGCCAACCCACACCAGAAATTGAAGAAGCATGGATACGGTTATGGCGCGGTATATTTCTCTTCTTTACATACACCTGAAGGCGCAGTTTCTTAGACTAATTTGCGGAAAGTTCCTCCGATACATTTCCCAGAGAACAAGCTCACAGCCCTTAACAAAACGCCAGCCGAGAACTACGAACATGTCTCGGAAGAGCTCGGGAGTGGTGTGAAGGGCTTTTTGAACGTTTTCCACCAACTTCACTGCCTGGTGAGTGGGCAAAATCCGCACCACCCTGTCCCTAGGAGGTCTCTTGTTGACATGCATCAGAATTTCGTAAGGCAATACACATATCGCGATGCTTATGACTACAGCAATGTGACCACCTTTCGGGCGAACAAGGAGATTGTCCGGGGACACGTGGACCATTGCATAGAAACGATACGCCACTTCCTAATGTGTCAAAGCGATGTTACGCCCGTAGTGTTTGAGAAGGATTTGTCTCGACCGTCAGGGTCCAAAAGCGATTTCAACATGCGTCGCAAATGCAGAAATTTTGGAAAGATTCAAGCTTGGACAGTTGCAAACAAAGCGGTTTGATCGGCGAGGATTATGGTCAGTAAACTCAAGATGGGTAATCCTGAATCTGGACGGCTAGATACATAGACTTGGACCTACATTTGATATCATGTCCAAGTCGAATTTTACATGGATGGTCTGATTACGCATGAAAGGCAAAAAAGTCTCGTCAATAACGAGCTTTAGCCATCAACTTTCTAATTTCACACTTGTTCCACGTAGATCCTCCCATCGAAAGGCTTATATATTTTACGACCGTCCCTTCCTAGTCAAACTCGTGTAGGTCTTCCAATGTGCTATGTTAAAACGATTAATCAACAAGACAGGGGCCTTCGTATCACGCATCAACATACTCTACCCAGCGAGAACTAATTAGTAAGCTAAATACAAAATTTGAAATGTTAGGGTCAACTCTTACACTGCTTATACATCAGCTTCATATTCTTGTTTTGCTTCATCAGTGACTTACAGCGCTGTCCTGTTGCTCCTGTGGCAAGATACCCTTCCATCGGCGACGCTTTTGATCAGCAGTTGGATCATCTAGACCTGATTGGACAACGGCGGTACCTTGTCCAGATGCTCATTAAACGACAACGGTGCAGCTCTGCCTAACAAAAGAATAATGAGCAGGCTCATTTGGAAGGGAATCTTCATCTTGGAGGAATAGTGGTATTTGGCAGGTAATCGAGGCGGGCATTTGAGTGGCGTACGATGCTTCAGCAGAGAATTTCCGAGTGTTTTGATTATGAACCAGTATCGGCAACTAAAGGGTTACCCCTGTAATCATTTGGCGCGCTGGCGCTGGTGTGTCACATTAGTCAAGCGCCATTGATGTTTGCTACATTAAGTAAGGGAGTCTTGAATTAGTCTTTCGTCCGGGACCCAGAAGATCCCGCCCCGTCCTCTGTCTTTCACCTTAAACCACCACAGCTTTGCGCTTGCTTTATCTCTCTTAGCCAACTAAGAGTGTCATGATCACCATGGATCATATTCAAGGTGGGAGTTCGAGTTGCGATACGCTCGACAAGAGCGAGTCGGTTGATTTCATGGTTCACGCATCGATACTGGCGTCCTGGAAACGAGAAAAACGATATCGATTGATTGCGACTTTCTGGTTCGTGGCCACTATGATGTTTGCTTCTCTATCAATGTATTTGTATACCTGGGTTCATTTTTCAGGTCGGTTCGGCTCGTTTCAATCAGGCTTTAGAACTGAACTAGGTAAGTGCTAAATCCTTTCCTTGCCGGGGAGTAGAGGGAGAACTTATAGAGAACAGAGGCGGCGAAACATGCTATTCATCTGCAAGAAAAATGGTTTGAGGGCAGCCCGGTATTTCATGACGATGGACAAGAATACGTACCTGAACCGGAGGATGGTGATCAAAGGCCCAAATACGTCGGAGAGCCAAGCAAAGAGATTGATCATAACTGGGAGCAATTACATTGGGGTAAGTGGAGGTTCATCTAACAAGGCGATGATGTAGTGCCCAACAAATGGCTCTGACGTGATTTTCCAGGTCGGTTCTTCCTGCTGTCTGAGGAGGAGGCTCGGTCTGCATGGGGACCCGACTACACAAAGTTTTGGGCGCCAAGGGAAGGGGGATATGTTGCTGCGTAAGCACAATCCGCTATGTTTGAGCAACCAGGTCTCGCTGACACCTGTGGCTTTCATTCACATATAGCCTTGAGGTCATGCATACAGTCCACTGTCTTGTAAGTGCCGGCATGCATAGAAAGAATTCTGATATCATATTGAGTCTAACACCACAAAGGACCACATACGCAAGGCATTTTCGCCGGAATCCTACCCAGAGGACAGCCCCATACATGGTGGACTGCACCGAGACCATTGTATTGATCATTTACGCCAGACAGTGATGTGTAATGCCGATCTCACGCCGATTCCCTCTGTTTATTATCTCGGAGTGGGAGATAATTATATAAACTCGGACCGTCCGCATACTTGCCGGAACTTTCAGAGGATTAGGGACTGGGTATCTGACAGGTTCAATGGCACCTCACGGGTAGCGGCATATCCAGGCACTGTCTGGAATAATGAGTGGATAAACAAGGATCAGCCAATCACTGACTGATCGGATTGAGGAGGTGCGGAACATGGCTGTATAGAACTTCCCGTAATAGATTGGTAAACATTATTTTACTTGTTTTAGTTGCGAATAAGAATATGACTCAATGGATTCTGTTCGTTTTAACTTTCGTCCAAGAAGACACCGGGCCTTGAGCCAGAATAACGGCTGATCAAGCTGCCTGGATGAGCATGCTTGATGGTTTGAGGTAGATTGTGGTTAGAATCCGTTTCTTAACAGGTTAAGGCGCTGAACTGTGGGTCTCGCCAAACTATCTCGCCGATTAGGCGCCCTTGGCGCCTCCATACCTCGTCTTTTTATCCCACAAACCTAGATGCGCTGCGCCAAACCAAGCCCCATTCCCCCACAAAGTGGAAGAAGACGCAACTTTAATTAGTTAGAGGATTAGCGTAGCTGCTGTCCGCATCACTGGCCAATGGAGCAAACCTGTCACCAAATGCCTCGTCTACATCATGTTGCCTCACTATTACAGACAACGACCATGTCGTCCGTCACATCCGAAGAGGACTATGATTTGCTCCTCCCTAGCCCTGGAGAGAGAAAGCCCCGAGACGCCCCTCCAAGACGGTCGAAAAGTTGGAAAAGGTATTGTTGGCATTCAGATTCCCATCTCCAGTATAAGAATTTAGGACTCATCAAACCAGGTGGCGGTGGCAACTAACTGCCCTGGCTGGTATCTCGCTAATTTTGGGATCTGTTTCCGTCGTTTCCCTGCTCGGACAGCCCTTATGGTCACGACGAGATCATGTCCATATTTGCAATCGCCCTGTTGTACGACGTGAGTGGCGGGCCTTGACGCCAGACGAGAGAGCGGACTTCATCGATGCTATACAATGCTTGAACTTGTTGCCTTCGAAATGGGGCTTCAAAGGGTCTACATACGACGACTTCTCTTTGCTGCATCTGAAAATCGGATCTTGGTGTATGTCCATCCAGTCACCAAGCTTACGGTATTCTTTGCGCGCTAATAAGGTGTATAGCCCACGGGCATGCATCGTTCCTTCCGTGGCATAGATATACCCTTGTTTTGCTGGAAGCTTCTATGCGTGAACGGTGTGGTTTCAAGGGGTCCATACCGTAAGTCTAGTGTCTAGATCGCAATTCAATATCATTGATGTGTTGACATTCACCAGATACTGGGATTGGACAATGGACTGGATGGACTTACACGGTTCTTCAATCTGGAACAATGTTACTGGATTCGGGGGAGACGGTGATCCAGCCGGGCCCATTGTCGTTGGAGAAGGGCGCTGCGTAACTGACGGACCCTTTTCCAATCTGCGACCCATTAGATACAACCAAACGGACCTAAAGCATTGTCTTGCAAGGGGCTTTCGGAACGTGGACGCCATCGGCCGCCCCTTGAACCCGTGGTTCGGCCCCGGTTCAATCGGCAGGCTCCTACGGACCCCCGGATATCGCGACTTCGAGTGGGATATGGAGAACCGCCTGCACAACCGGATGCATCGTGCTGTCAGCGGTGACTTTCTCTCGCTAACAGCCGCCAATGGTAAGACGGGGTCCACGCCCTACACTCTATCCATCATGGTCTCAAATTTCGGCTTCTCAATAACGCGGTGTTGACAGATCCTGTGTTTTATCTTCATCATGCGCAGATAGACCATCTGTGGTGGCGGTGGCAACAAGAAGATAAAGCAACTAGATTATATGAATATGAAGGGAAACACATGTTCAACTCGACAGATGGAACAGCAAGTCTCAGTGATACGCTACAGTATGGAGGTTTTGCGGAAGATATCCCAGTGTCATGGGTCATGGACACCGAGGACGGGTTTCTATGTTATAGATACTGAGCGTGTGTATAACAGGTGGCGATATAGTAACCAAAGCTGATTCAATATTAATGAAAGAAGTATCCCTTTAATTACGGAGTGACCCCATTTCTGCCAAGAAGGAAAATACCCACTTTTACCCCTCACTTTAAGGGATACATAACAATACCTTGTTTTAAAATATTATTTTATTAGTAACTACTACTAAATTAAACATTATTACTAATATCCTTATTAAAATCATAATATCTAGCTTAGATACCTCTAGTTATAGCACTATTTATATAGAGATATTACTAAAGGACCTTACTGTTACCTGCCTAGATAATTACTACCTAGAGCAGTGTAATAACGTAATAATCTAGCCTAATAAGCCTCTAGTAGAGCTAGGCCTACTAGGCTCTTTTATCTTATTTAAAGTGCTAGACTAGTAGCCTAAAGTCTATAGCCTATTAGATATTAATACTTTAGTTAACCTCTTCTTTTATTATATACCCCTAACATTAACCTAGTAATAGGCTATATAGATAAATATAGCACTACTATCTAAGGCTAGTCTTTAATAAAAATGTTACTAGTGTAGTACTAGTAACCTACCTTTACTAATAAAATATACCTCTTTTTTAGTATTTCAATTTATATAAGTTTATATCTTAAATCTTAAATATTAAGGTACTAGTTAACTTAGTAGTAAAAAAAAGATTTATTATACTTATTTATATACTTTATAAGCTAAAAACACTTCTTATAGCTTTATATCTAGCTCTAGATATTTAATCCTTTTAAGTTCTTAACCTAAGGGCCTAAGCTAGGCTAAAAGAAGTAAATACTAAATATATATTAAAAGGTTAACTAATAGTTAGCCTATATCTAGGTAACTAAATACTTTTTTTATATAGCTAGCTTTAATTTTACTATTAATAAGATAATAGTCTAGTTTATAAGCTAAAGCTAAAAGACTTTAACTATTCTAATAAAGCTAATCCTAACTAGCTTTAAAGTATAGGTCTTTACCTAATCTAAGTACTACCTCTAGTAGCTTTAGTATATATATAGAGAAGGCCTATATAGACTACTTACTAAAGCTTTAAATCTAGCTAGGTAAGTAGTAAACTAAATAGCCTAGCTTATACGTACCTAATAGGTAGTTATAGCCTTTTTCTTTTTACTACTAGCTATAATATATTATATATTTCTAGATAACTTTTTTACTTTTATTAGACTTTTTTAGGCCCTCTAGAGCTAGTAAGTTAAAGCCTTTAGTATATACTAAAAGAATAATAGTATTAATACTATACTTATTACTAAGTAAAATAATAAAGGCTAGGATATCTTATAAGGCTAAATATACTATATTCTTACTACTAATAGGCTAGTATATATCTTTAAACTATATTAGTATATATATATATATATACTAACTAGTTTACTTTCTTATAAGTTAACTAAATTACTTGAAAAAATAATACCTTTATACTTTTTCTTATAATAGTATATTAAAGTAGCTAGGCTAATTATATAATCTAGAAATAGCGCTAGCCTGCTAGTAATATAGTAGTAAAGTAGACTACTTAGTAAGCCTTTAGCCTAGAGGTCTAGAAAGACCTCTTAGTCCTTTAGCTAATAAATAACTATAACTATATTATAAATAAAGTAGATATAAGTAATTATATAAAGGCCTTATACCCCTTTAACTACTATATTTATTAAGGAGCCTAGTAAGTAATTACCTAGACCTTTCTACTTAAAGTTATTATTATAAATACCTTCTATCTCCAGCTAAGAGGGGATCTAGAGTAGCTAAAGGTTAAGAACTAATATTAATAGTAGTTACTACTATCTTCTTAGCTTATTTAATAGTTTAGACTATTAGCAAAAGGTTACTAGCTTTTATATCCTTAGTAATAGTCCTATAAAGGTAATATATTTATTCTATTTATAGACTATTACTAAGGTTTATAAGGGTATAATTTACCTTACTCTTATTATAGTAGCTTAAAAAGGTAGCTTTATTTAAGATATTTAGTAATAGGTAGGTATAGTAACAGAAGACCTAGCAGGGCTGCTTAGATTATAATATACTCCTTTATAAATATAGAGATTACTAGTACTTATAGTATAGGCAAAACGCTATATAAATAGAGGTACTGTTTAACTATTGGCTTGTTAGATTTTATGCTGTGATTACATTGGCTCTACCCCGCCCTTGGCAGAAATGGGGTCACTCCGTAATTAAAGGGATACAGTATTTGAATGCATTGTTTCTTGTAAACGCCGCATCTCAGTGACCGGTAATGGCGATGTGACCTTTTAGCGTGCCCCGACTGCGTCTGGCAAGCAATGGCATCCTCTTGGTCTGTTCCATGGTTTCGGTGCGGTATAGAATGTTTTTCACATGTCTAAGAGACATCTAAGCATATTGAAACTTCTTTATGGGATGCAAACACCCACAGCTCCTTGGTACTAAATGCTTTGCAGGTTGCAAACCGAAAGCGTAGATACCTATAATGAGACTAGATCTTTATGGACTGCTTGAAGCATACACGGATTTGCACACCGGGATAGGATATACGCTATTTTCACTAAACCTTCAGGTCACTTCAAAGCGCCATTTCATGTGATTTTCGGCATCAGGCGCAGACGATGTTAGTTTATTTTGTTTTTGCCAGGCTGGTGGTCTCCTTTCGCACTGTTCCAGACTCTACAAAGACACCACTCATTTGTCAATGGGGATTACATAGTCCACAACCGGGTCTTCGTCGCGCTTGTCGATTGGAATGACGTAATCCACAACAGGGCCCTCATTGCGCTTGTCGATAGGTATAACATAGTCCACAACCGGGTCGTCATCGCGCTTGTCAATTGGAATGACGTAGTCCACAACCGGGTCTTTGTCGCGCTTGTCGATTGGAATGACGTAGTCCACAACCGGATCGCCGTCACCCTTTGCCATCTCCCCTCCAGATTTACGAGCCATGAGTGAATTTTCCTAGCAGGTGTTAACATATACGTAACACAATTCGATAGCTTCGTCATTGCAGAGCCAGTACTCACTCCTTGCGCCGGCAAGGCCAAGGCACCAGCGGCAACTGCCAAGACGAAACTGATCTCAGATACCTTCATGATCTGCATTTTGCTTTCTCGAAATGTATATCCTTGCTTGGGAGTGCAAACCTATGATGTTGAAGAACGGTTCGAGGCTTTAGTACGTTTGAGGCGCTCAGCAATGATTTTAAGATTCCGTGTCTTCAGCCTCTGTCTTCGTTGCTGGTTGGCGCGCTAATGACACTAGCTGGGATCTCAATTGTTCAAAATTGACAGAGTAGCTTTAGGCGCAGGACTTGGCGGCCACCGGTGTGGCGCCTATCTGTCAACGCAGGTTGACCGGGGCCATTTCGGAATGGAAGTACTAAGTTGTCCAGGATGCGTTGAGCGCATGAGTTGGCGCGCTGTTTTGCCGAGGTCATTGCCTTGAACGTTATTGCGCCGCTCTTCTCGTTTCTACACCGACATGATTTCGGATACAGCGGGCGCAGGTGAGTTTCTTCCGATGCCGGGCGAGCTTCGCCTGTCGGACAACTGCCTGCAAGACGTTAGCCAGTAGATACCTTGCAGCAACGAATGCACAGCTTGTGATGTCGTCATGAAGCCGGGCAACTATGTACTGAATACACACGAACAACAGGCCATCTGCTCTCCACACGCAGGGATATATATATACTCTTGAGGTTGAACTATTGAGATATACTACCATTTAAAATTCCACCGACGGCCTGCCATTACTGCAAATATCCAATGAATGACAAGTTTGCTAACAATTGTCCCATCAGGCAATCAACAAGCCGAGCACATGTTTCCCTGATATGTTTCCCCAACTATCCATTCCGATCTGTTCCGTGCCAACCTGCTGATCTCCTTCCCCCCAGCAGGTCGTAATAACTGACCAAACATCGTAGTGATTACCGGGTGCGTGGATTTCCGGACAGGACCCCATCAGGTTACGAAAGAAGTCAGTTTGCCGCCCTTGTGCTAATTTGGCAGTGATAAGAAGCGGCCATACCAGCAGTCGGTGCTCATGGAAACACGGAACCGACTTCCACACCGTAATGGCAGAATCGATGCTCTGACGAATTTCGTGTGCTCCACTGTTTGGCCCGGAGACAATGAAATTGAGATAGACCAGAGCCGCGCGCGCATACAGAAGAGTCAGGGATTGGCCGGGCGAGTGGCCATGTCGGCCGGGGAACCCAAGAGAGAGAGGCCCATGGAGCCCGGGGTTTGCCCCAGAGTCCGAGGTCTCCCTCCCTTTGATGGCGCATGCGATCTCATCAGCGCGCCTAACCAGTTCACGGATGCTCAAGCTCCTACGGGTCTCCTGGTCGCGTTTCCAAGAATCCAGCATCACCACATCCATGATAGTTTGCAGAACCCAGCTCTCGCAGCCGGTGACCGCCTGGAAGCTGATGCAAAACTCGTCATCGGATAGTAAATGGCGGTATACCTCGTGAGAACCGGGCACCGTTCGCTGGGCCGAACACGTCAAAACATCCATCCAAGCCAGAAGCGCCCGAGAACAGTTGAGAGCCTTGCGCTCCGAGGCAGACGGCAACTCTGGCGGCTTCAGGCTAGTGACCACTGTTCCTGTGGAAAAGCAGGTCTGTGAAGTCGGCGTGATTAGGCCAGTGTTTCTGGGTGAGTTTGTGCTAACAGCCCCATTCTGCATATGTGGGTTTTCTAAGAGAGAGAGAGCACAATGAAGATAGCCCTGGCTCCTTTCCCAGTTTCCTCCAAGAGCCTGTAGCGATGATCAGATAATGCTGCTGCTAGAAGCTCGGTGCAGATGAACGTCCGGACATACCTCCAGTCGGGTGAGCTCAACAGCACAGACGAAATTTTTGCTCGGGTCCCCAGGTTGCGAACCTTCGAAGATCTGTCTGGCGCGAAGTCGATATTTTTCATAGTCATGCCAAGCTATCGAGCCTGTTTCACTGCCAGCAGTGGCACTCAGGTGTTGGTGGTATGCACTTAAACTCAACGCCGCGTTATAGAGTTCGGGTGACCGCAACAGAGTCGACAGAAGCCATCCCTTTGAGGAGCCATACCCTCTCCCCCGAGACTCTTGTGCTTTATTTGATGTGTGATCAACATAATGCATGACTAGATCCATCTCTCTTTCCGAGGAACGGTGATCCAGGCAATGTTCGCATTTAGACACAGGCAGATTTATGAGTCGCGGTATGTTGTTGTCTTCAAAGTGATTGTTTTCGTTGGTTATAGGGTGCTCATGATTCACAGGTGTGCCGTATGATTCGATTCCTGGATCGAAATAATTCCACTCATCGTCAGGAAAGATCAAAGGGTCAAGATTTGTCGTGCTCATTAAACCAAACTCGCCCTCAAGCGCGAAATCAATGTCGCTGGTCCCGTCTTCATTGCACGTGTTGATTCTCAAAATGCTATCAGCTGCATGTGATACTATCAGCCTGACATCCTCTGCTGCTGGTGACGAAGATGGTGTGGACATGGTTGCTTGTGGTGCCTCAGTGTCAGGGGCTGAGGTTTTTGCCGAGCTGATACGTAGACGTATCGCCTCTTGACGCTCCTTTTCTCCTTTATCCTTCCACTCAGGCTTTGGTCCATACCCGTGGCAGTGGATGTGCCGATTCACGCAGGTGAGGCACGGTGGCCCACCCTCTTCGCATTTCTTCCGGCGTAGACGACAAGTCCAGCACCCGCTTTTGCGTCGTTTTGCCGCCGAGCCCATCAGGTCAAGGTAGTTTGTGTGTGTTGGAGATATTGTCGAAGAGCCATGAGCTACTCTAGAACGGGTCAGAACTAATACGGGCGGGTCTTCCTTTCCATTATCTTAAATGAACTAGTGCTGGAGCGATGCAGAGAAAGGAAATGAAGTAGCATTGTGTTTACATTGTTAGCGACAGGATACCCGATCTTACCGCTGAATAAATAAAACGTCTGTCGGCGACTCGAATCATGTGGCAGGGACAGGGTTCTGAACCTCCTACATCAAACTATGATGTTCTTCTAGTGCCTGAGCACGGTCGGCAGATGGCAAAGGAAAGGGCTTCCGCATGATGACAGGTGCTCAGAAGCAGAGCTAACCGGCTCCTTAAACTCCAAGAGGCCCCACCTGAGCTGTGACATTTCAAAGTATAGCAGGTTAATGTACTATGTAGTACATGCAATTAGGCTAAACTTTGATTGCAGTTCCACATTATATCCTGTTTTGTGGAAGGTTTGTATTGCCGAACGCTTATCCACCCATTTTACCACAACGTATCAAGTCTCGGGCACCACCTCGGTGGTTGTGTGTTCGTAGTGCGTCCAGCCTTTTGTCCCATTGCCCACGACGTAGTGAATACCATGATTCTTCAAAATATCCTTGATTGCCTCCCAGTCTCGGCAAACGTGTTCATTCCCCCAGCCGGAGTATCCAGTATATGTCTTTCCCTGGACATCGGGTCTTATCAACGCCATGTCTCCATGGCATATGGTTGCCTGGCGCAGAACCTCCAAGCAGTGATCAACATGGCCGGCCGTCTTTGTAGCATTCGAACCCCGAGTCCCTCCTGTGTACCTGTAGTCGTTGATGGCTTTCTTTATGCTTGCGACGCAGTGGAGCTGGTGCATGACGCCGAGACCAAAGGCTTGAGACCCTTCGTTCCACGGGATGGGATCTAGCGCGTTTCCTTCGGAACCGGGCCCAGTCAAAGGCGTTCCAAAGCCGTAACCCTTTGCGGCCGGGTCGTTTTCTAGCGCCACCCAGTTCGTGAACCATATGCTGTCCCAAGGGTTGGGTCCCTTGCCAACGGAAATCGTCCCGTCTGCCCCAAACTTACTATCCCACGGATCGCTATCGATGAATTCTTGCTGGTTTTCTATGATCATTTTCCTCCATGAAACGCGACGGCCCCAGAGAATTTCTGAGTCCAAATGGCACTCTGGGCTGTTGAACCAGCGAGGTGATAGGCGGGCGAGGATAATAGAAAGCGTGGCGATGTTCATCAAGAAGCTGGTGATTGCGACCAACTTCCAGTTGATGCAGATGAGGCGTCTCTTTGGCGGGGTGAACGGCGGGCTCTCGTCGCCAAATTCACTGCTAGGGAGCGAAGCATATGCGATTGACGAGCGACGAGCCATCTTGTGTAGTATTGCTGTGAAGACTGACAGTCAGAGTGAAACTTTAGGAAAAGAGGAAGCGCTACACCCGCTAGAATATCGCTATTACGCGTACCACAGTCATTGCTAACTGTTGGAGTTATACAGGATACGAGTATGTAGATGGGCCGGCGGCGGATGCGGGGCAGCTCCGATGGTAAGATGATTTCGCATGTAGACCCATGAGTTGGTCAAACAGCGCGCCAATGTTTGGCGCGCCAGCGCCAGCGCAATTCAATAACATAGGCGCTGGTTTTGGAGATGTTACTATATGTACTTGTATATATGATGGATGGCCTATCTTGCCCGAGTCATGTGTTTCGGGCGCCTGGCACACTCGTCATTATATTGATCGGTTTCCACTATATTTACTTTAAGTGGTCGTCCCAGGCCAAAGTCAAATGCCACTAGTCAGCCAGTTGTTTCTGCTCTCTCCTATACGCCCGCATTTTCCTGAATATCTGTCGAATGTGGCGGATTGTTACCGTGACCGCGCAGGGAATGCGCGGTGGATGTGCGGTGAAAGAAATTGCCCCGCTTCCTATACCAGGATAAACTTGCACTGAGCCTGCAGGTCACGCAGCCGTTGAGTCAACCTAACTTCGATGTGCTGCTGGTCGAAAACTAATATGAACGAGTCAACGCAGCCATATGTTCGGTCACGGGTCGGCTTGAAGGCAATATGCAGGGGAGTATGCAATCCTATGCCGGTGATCGAGAGATGCCTGGGAAAAACAATTATATAGATGTAGAGTATATATAATATATGTAAACCTATTAATAAATTACTTTAACTCACCGGGAGACTAAGGGTGTCGTCGGAAGAAAGTTAGGCAAGCTAATAGTCTTTAAATTAAAGAATCTTTACAAAAAAGTATTTATCTATACATAGAGTATATCTTATTAAGTGTAAATAGAGACTAATTAGGCTACAGCAATCTAGGCTAACTATCTAATAACTATTAGTAATTATTTATAGAGACCTAATTATAGGTTATAAGGTCTATTTACACTTAAAGGGATACAGTCTATGTTATAGGGCACTTTTGTAGGTAGGAAAAGTTATAGGAAAACGGCTTAAATTCTTGTTAAATATAGCAAAAGTTGTTAAATATGGCAGAATTACACGTGAATTAACTAGTAAATACACAGTTGCCCTACAGCGAATTGTTAGGGAATAGGTAGTAAATTTGTCAAATGTGGCGGAATTACACGTGAATTAACAAGCGAATGCACAGTTGCCCTACGGCGAATTGTCAGGGAATAGGCAGTAAATTAGCCCCACTTTAAGGGGTTAATTCACCAATCAAATAGCAAGGATTAGCCCAGGATTTCCTAACCAAGATATAGGAGAATTTCCTTACCTCTACAGGGTTTTCCCTAGATATACATAACATATAACAGAATTAATTAATCTACTATTATAATCCCTACTATTTAATAATTAACAGTCTAATACATATATCTATAATAACAAACGTACCTATCTACTAAATAATATTATTATAATAAGTACTAAGAATAATAATAATAAGGTAACTATTCTATAATTATATAGTAATTAGTTTATATAGCTTAACGCTATCTAAGTAAAGGTAAAGCGCTATAATCTCTAGGAATATATTAACCTAGAAGTCGCAGCAGCAGACTAATTAATCCTTAAGATATATCTAAAGAAACTAATAAAGCTACTTACTACGTAATATCTATACGCGTTAACTAAGGAGAAGCTTACTACTTACTAAGAAGTCGCTATAGCTATAGTAATTACTAGGATATCCTAGTAAGTAACTATATAGCTACGTATAGTAAGAAGTAAGGCTATTATAACTATACCTAATAGGCTTATATATAAATCTAAACATATAGTAACACTAGATAATCCTAACCTATATAATCTTATATACTTAAATAGCTAGATAAGCTACTATTATAAAGAAGTACGTAAGTATACTACTTACTAAAAAGATGTTAAAGATATAGCTAATATAGTTAAATCTACTATATCTATAGATCTTTAAGAAAGATACTATAAATCTACTAATTTACTAGCTAAATAGCTTAATAAGCTTAGCGTAGTAGTAGGAATATCTAAAGAAGAATATATAAAGTACGCTTATAATAAGTATAGTAAGGTGTTAGTAAAGGCCTAGTAAAAGGCCTTAACTACTAAGAAAGATCTTACTATGTAGCTTAATAAATAGAATATAGCCTATAGTAAATTAGTATAGGTTAATCTACCTAACTATTAATAACTGCTTGTCTAGTTTAATAACCTTATTAACGCACTATAAAGCAGCTTACTTAGCGCCTAGTTAGATTTATACGTAGTAATAGCTAAAATAATAGGTAACTAGTATAATCTTAACTAGTAGACGCTTTATAAGATAGCGCTAGAGAGGGTTAATATTAAATAGTAAGGATTATAATAGTTAACTAATTAATTATATAATATACTATAATAATCTAGTTAAAAACCTATAGAACTACTAAAATTCCCTTATTTCTAGGTAGGGAAATCCTAGACTAATCCTAGTTATTTAATTAGTAGATTAACCCCTTAAAGTAAGAATAATTTACTACCTATTCTCTAATAATTTACTATAAGGTAACTATATATTTACTAGTTAATTTATATATAATTCTACTATATTTAACACACCCCTTTAGCGCTAGTAATATAATTAATTACTATAGCGCCTGCACTAAATATCCTCTAGTTATAGCCCCCTTTATTTATTAATTATCCTTTAATATCTTATACGTTTTTCTCTTTTATTTAGTAGTAAAGCTTTACTTTACTATTAGCTAGCTCTTACTATTAATTTACTTTAAGGCGTATATATTAGTTACTTATATTAAATTAAGCTATAAATATAGTAAATTATAGCGCACTAAGCGTCTTTATTAATCTATTAGCTATTAATTTAGTAGACCTCTTGTATTTAATAGTAATCTAATTTACTACTACTTCTTAGTGTAGCTAGTAGTTATAGATATCTATATACTATAGCCTTATTTATAGTTAAATAAGCTCTTTAGTAATAAGCCTAATAGTCTAAGTATTATTATAGCTAATATAAATAGTTAGTAGCTATTTAGTAGCTACCTACTTATTAAGTAATAATTTATTTTTAAATTAAGTTAATAGTTAAATACCTAGTGTAGTAATTAATCTACTAGTAAAAAGCGCCTCTTTTATAGTAAATAAAAGCGCTAGTAGTTTAGCGTTAGTAGTTAATATTATTACTATATCTTACTTATTAGCTTACTAGGAGATAAGCCTTCTAAATAGCTTTAGTATATATACTTATAGGCTATAATAGTCTAGTAAGTTATTAGTAAATAAGGCGTCTAAAGTAACCTCTAACGTATTATTATTACTACCTAGCGTTACTTTATATTTAAGGTAAAGGTGCTACGTTTAATAGAGATATCTAAGTATATAATTTATAGCCTTTTAGTAATCTAGATTTAGGTTATAGTTAAAGCAGGCAAGCTAGCTAGCTATAAGGGTAACGTCTAGCTAAGTTATTACTACTATATATATAATTATCTTTACCTTTTTTTAGTATTTATTAACCTCTTATAATAAGGCTATATATTTACTAAGTAATAGCTTAGCTTTTACTATTAGTAATAATCTATTATAATATTTATTTAGTAGTAGTAAATTAGTTATTTTATTATAGTATACTACTTATAAAAGCTAGAGATAGTAGTTACTTTAGTTATAAATTACCTTAGGGCTAAAAAGCTATTATAGTAGACCTCTACCTTTAAGGTAGTATTATTACTAAAGGGCTACTATCTTATTACTTACTTATAATTTATCTATATAGTAATATACTAATATATAATTATTAATATAAAAAAAGAATATAATATATATTACAGCTAGTTTCTAGACAGTAGGGTTTCTGCTAATAGTAAGCAGAGGTTAATACTTAGTTAACAGTGTTAGTCGTTCTTATTAGTCTTGTTAATCACTTAGTAATCAGTTAGGTAGTTAAGGGCGTCTTAGTGCTTATATAGCTTTTTACTAATTAAAGTTCTAAGGTTAGATACTAAAAGGTATTTAAAGAATATATTATAAGTTAATTACTAAAGAGCTATAGAAGTCTGTCCTTAAGTACGTCTAAGTCTATCCTATAAGTCAAAGCACCCACTTATGGCCCCCCCTTGCATTTAGCCCACCAGAAAAACGATGCCATCACAACACCACTACTTTATTTAATTAACTATTAACAACCTCTTAATACCACAATAATATAGCTTTCAGCCTTACTAGGAAATTCCGATGCGCTGGATTTATCTAGCTCACTTTCAGTATCGCCAGCCGTAATCTAGGCTTACCGCACTTCCTTAATCGTCGCGAACTTCGTATTTAGATCCAGTGTAACAGCCTTCCGTTTTCTAGTTATACTATTAGTACCTAGGCTTCTAGAAGGCTTAATTTTTGCTAGGCAGCAGCCAGTGTATATAACTGCTCTTAGAAGCCTTTTTTAACCTTTCTAAAGAGCTAGCGTTATGTGGTGATGTTTTACTCTAGTTAGCTAAATAGTTAAAGTTAATCCCTAAGGTCCTTTACCTTCCTTAGTGTAGACTACTTTACACTAGATAGCTAGCTATCTATACTATTAGTATCCTAGGCCTTATAGCTATCTCTAGTAGCTAGATTAAGTAGTGTTAATAGTGTTAATAGTGTTATTATTACCTTTTAAACTAGTAGCCTATTTATAAGTGGCTTTACTACACTAATAGGCTATAACCTAGTGTATTTCTAGCTACTTTTAATATTATCTATAGTTAATTTAGCTAGGTAAGCCTTATAGTAATAGAAAATAAAGTTCTTTTTGCCTATAATAGTAGAATTAATTTACTAACTTAGATATCCTAGCTTCTTTCTATATACTGCCTTAATAAGGCTAAAGACTAACTAGTTAAGTAGCTAGAGGATATAGGAGGTATATAAAGGTAAG